CAAAAATGTGCTACTGGGCTTCAGGTTTTGTCCCTTAAAGCCTTTATGTTTTCCACGTTTTGTTTTGTAGACTAAGTTTTTTTCACCCAAATTCACAAGACCTCGAAACCTAAAGACTCCCCTAGCTTAGCACAGCCACTCTCTGTCTGGGAAAGCTGGGAGCACACCCTGGGAGCTGCAGGTTGCCACAAAAGTTGGTCCTGAAAGGAGAATTGAAGCAGAAGGTACTGGAAAACCACAGTTCCCATGGGAAATGCTAATGCTTTTTGCACAAAAATACTTTGGTTTTCAGCCAGAACGGCTTGGTTGTCAGCAGCCTGATACATAAACCCCAAGATCTGGGGCAGAAGGCAGATGTGCACATGGAAAAGGTGATTTTTATGAACTTTGCACCAAAGGAAAAGAAGCTACACCACAAATCATGTGACGAGCTGTATTTCTGGGAGAGTCCTGTGAAATCTCAGCTCCGTGGGGACCTTGCCATTCACCACATCAGAGTCAGGACTTCCCTGGTCCTTGAGGGCCCCTTCCAACACAAGATATTCTGTTTCTGTGACCCACAAGGGCATGGATGTGGCACTTGGAAAACCCACAAATGTCGTGCCCAGGATCTCTTTAAGGCAGGATGAGAATTCTGGGTTTCCCCCAGGGCTGTGGCAAGAGCAGCACGAGCACACAGGGCACGGTGCAAGGTGTTCCCTCTCCATTTGGGTTATTCCAGTTAAGTGCTCCAGGAGAAGCTGGGGGCACACCCATCCCCATGAGTCATGGTGGGAAAAGCCATTGCATGTCTGGTGTGTGTGATACCAAGGCAAGCTGGTCCAGGGTTTGGCCCTCAGACTCACAGCAGCATTGGGAAGATGGATACAGCATGCCAGGGATGGGTTATTAGTTACCAAAACACAGGGATACAGGCTCTCCAACAGTTAAGGATGTAGCTGCTTTGTTATGGAATGACAAATTTTGGCTATCCTTGCAGAAAGTTTTAAAAAAGTTGCATTTTTTGTCTATTGCTGCACTGAAGTTACAATTATTCTGAATGGTTTAAGGGAAAAACCTGGGTGAATTCCTGTTTGTGCATATGCACACAAAATCCATCAGAAATTCCCAGTTCCTGTGGACAAGCAGGTAATTACCTACTGGGCATTCACAGGTTGGCCCTGCCATGCTTTGGGAGGCTTTGTCATGCAGGCTACAAACAAACTGCTGCCGTGCCATAGAAGCTGAGAGCAAAATGTATTTACTGTCACCACTGCCTTTCATGGAAAACTGTTAAAAGTGACAAGTATTACATCATTATATACATTAAACCACAAGCAAGCCATAACCATCGAATTCAGAGGGGCAAAGGCCTCTCTCTGAAATCCCTGAGGTGCTGCACGTGAAGGCACAGCCCCGACCACTGACTGTGTGCTGCGGGCAGAAAGGATCCATGGGGGAATGCCATGACACCATGGGATCTGGGCTGTCTGCACCTCCCACAGCCATGGAGCCTGGAAACCCCTCTTTTCCAGCAGGTTCCTTCTTTTATTATTTTTTTTTTTTTCCTATTAAACAAGCCCAAGTAGAAAGGATCCATGGGGGAATGCCATGACACCATGGGATCTGGGCTGTCTGCACCTCCCACAGCCATGGAGCCTGGAAACCCCTCTTTTCCAGCAGGTTCTTTCTTTTATTATTTTTTTTTCCTATTAAACAAGCCCAAGCTCAGAGAATGTGCTTTGCTGAACTCAGGCAGATTCTGTGGCTGTTGTGTGTGGAGAATTTGCTCCTCAGCATTGCCACAGCCCCATGCAGCCCTCTGTGTGCCCCCAGTCCATCCCTCTGGGCACTGCCCAGCACACATCCCAGCCTCGGGATGGCCTGGGACTGTGCCAGGTGAGCACAAGTGACAGAGAAATAATCGGGGGGGCTTTTCTGCGGAGAAAGTGTTGCTTGTTTCTGGGTTTGGATGTCAGATCACTGCAGCTCATTCCACTGGTGCATTACCAAATTCCTTTCTTTCAGGTAACAAGGTGCAGCCAAATCAGGGAGGGCTAAGAGGATTAATGAAGATGTGTGGCATCTGAGCCTGAAGTAAGCTCAGGTGGGAGCAAACAAAAATTCATCATCTGATGACCAGACATCCACAAAGGGCTCACTATTTCCAGAAGAGCAGCCAAAATGCAGCGTCAGGTGCCATCAGCAGCCCCTATGAATCATCCCTGCAGTGAGGCTGTAGAACAAGGTGTTGGTTTGCTGTGCTCTTGCTTGATAAATCACAACCTTGCAAATCCAGGGAAGGCAGGAAAACGTCAAGATTGCTTAACATAGGGATTGGGGTCTGTCCTATGGAAGGTGTCTTTCTTAAAGTCCCAAATGGAAAGGATGGATTGACTGAATTCCTGTTTGGGGTCCATGAGTCTGGTCTCACCCACAATCTATCCCATAACGTGGAAAACTGAACTCTTTTAATCCTTTTCCTGTGCAAATGGAGACAAATCCCCCAACATCTCAATGATTAATATCTAATACTGACCACAGGGAACCTCGGTACCATGGTGATGTGTCTGCGCAGAACACAGGATGGGAGAAGGATGCGAAATAAACAGACAAAGGACTCAGTCCAGAGAGAGGCAGAGTTCTGGAAAACACTGAGGGAGGTCACTGGAGGAGCAGCAAAACTGTCACTGGTCATGAGGGGGCTGTCCTGCTGGCTTCCAGGCAAACAATTGACCCATGGATTCGACAGCCACGTGTGGGATTGGGAAAAGGGAAGAGAGCTGGGATTTTAAGAGGGTGAGACCCTTGTCCCCATGAAGCACCACCTCTGCAAACAAGGGGGCAAGAGGGGCCAGAGGCACAGAGGATTGGCCCTTGCATGCAGTGTGATCCAAAGGGCTGGGAGCTGTGGATGAGGAAGGAGATGTTAATTCACCCTGGGACTAGCAGGGACCCACCCACGAAGTATCAGGTTGGTTTTCTGAAGGGATTAAGGAGTCCTCACCCTTTTGGGAATTCTCTGTGCTGTTTTTGTTGCTGTCATCCAACAAAGGTGTGGCATCAGAGAGGTCACAGGAGAGGTGAGCAACGTGTTGAGTGCTTTGCTTCTCCCAGGATGGAGAAACACACAGCAACCAGAGCAGGTGAGTCAGGAGAAGGGTAAAATAATAGGAGAGACCTGGAATGTGCATCAGGGCTCAGTCCCTCGTAACCTTTTACATTAAAATTGATGCCAATAACTTCTGAATTCTCTCTCTTCGGTTTTGGTAGAATAAGCCACAAGGGAAAGCAAATGAGCTCTTCTTCAAAGAAACAGTTTGTCCCATGGATTTGCATGGATTGAAGACTCCCACCTCTCCTCAGGGCTTGAGCTGACACTGCTCTTCCCCAGCTGGGGAGGTCATGGCCACAGGAAACCCCTTTCTCCTTCAGTAGCAATGCCAAGGAGTAAAAGGAGTGATTCCTGAACACAAAACCAGTGAAAAAGGGAAATTGATACCAAATTCTACAGGCTCCTGCCCACTGGATTTGATGGGGGTTGTGATGATGAGAGGGCCACTCCTCTTGGTATTGGCAGGTAAGGGCAATGGTCACATAATGTGGCTTATGAGGTTCAGATGGGATATTATGGAAAAAAAAATTGGACTAGGAGGGTAGACAGAGCTGGAACAGGTTACCCAGAAAGTGGTGACATCCACACCCACAGCAGTGATCAGGCTTTGGGCAGCCAAAGCTGACATGATCTGGTGTTGGAGACAGTCCTGCTCCAGATGGGAGGTTGGATTGCAGAGGTCTGAAGTCTTCCTAGGGGAAGGAATAGAGAAAAAGCGGCATAAAAAGAATAATCCTTCCTATTCTGAAGCCTCTTGGGATTTTGCACGTCACCAAATATGCATTTTCACACAAATGAGGATACTGCCACTGACCAGTGGGCTGCCAGTTCTCTTGCATCCCCCATCTCATATTGGGAAGCAATGGGGGCAGCTCCTTCCCAGTGGGCAGAGGGCTCTCCTCTGATAAGTAGATTGTGCCTTCTGGAAGGGTGTCAGTAGCCCATTTTCACTACTGGCAGGTGAGAGATTTGGCTGTTTTGATTCCCAGGCATTATCCATTATCCTTTTTTTTTGATCACCTTTTTATGTGGCACTCACTGACAGAGGTCTCACCAGGCAACTGGGAACAAGCCCTGCTCAGAAGCACAAGAATGACAACCTGGGCTTGCTGCTCCCATGGTGACACTCCAGATAACCCACTCTGCAACTTCTCAAGATGCTCCTGTGTCGCTGCCACCAAAAAGCCACACTTGGAGTCTTCACATGACAGGGAAAGAATGGTTTCATTATGAGAAAACCAGTACATGCAGCAACAAGTGACTGGGCACACGCTCAGCTGTTAGCAGCTCTGCTGATGCCACTGGAAATGACTGTGGGATTTTTTAAGGACACATCAAATTGATTTGTTGTTTGATTTTTGTTAAAACCCAACGCCTTGATCTCCATCTGTGTTTTGAGTGTCCCTGCTGGAGGAGCAGAGGGAAGAAGAAACGCGAGCGGAGAACAGGATTTTCCTTGCCTCATTCCCACCGAGTGTATTTGTTTAAACAAGATGGGTGGAACCAAAGCCATGCATGGGTGAAACTAAAAGGAGTCAGTCTCTGTGCCTGAACACTTCACACCAGCACATTTACTCAAGTGTGTTTTTCTGCAATGCAAAAGCCAGTGGAGTCCTTGTGGCTCACCCAAGGCAGGACCTTCTTCCCTCCAAAAATTTTTCCTTACCACCCAGGCTTCTAAATTTACTCTTTTTTTTTTTTTTTTTCCCAGCTGCTGGTTTATTCTCCCTGTCTCTAGTATTCCAGGCAGGGGGTTTACCTTCCTCACAGCACCTTTTAAAACTGGTGGGATGGTCTGGGGATCCCAGTCTGTGGCAGCACTCACAGGTAACACCCCTGCCCCAGCCCCATTTCCCAGCCCTCCCTTAACATCTCCCCACAAAGAGGACAAACAGGTCTGTTGCTCACCTCTTATTCCACCACTTTCACAAGTTCCATCTGATAGATGGGTTGGGTGGGTAGAAACCTCCACGCATTATTAGTGTGCTTATTTTCAGCAGTAAAGTAATTCTGCAGGAATTCGGCCACGTGCAAAACGTCCTTTCCATTCCTTTGCTGTCTGGGAGCAGATCTCTGGACCACATCAGGCACCTCCTTCACCCTTCCTGGACTGAGGGCTGGAAAACATGCTCAGCATCAGATGTTATTTACAATAAAAGAGCAGCTCAGATGTTATTTACAATAAAAGGAGACCTGCCTGGTGCTGCTGGATTTGGTTAGACAGGAGTTAACCAGGAATTTTGAGGTCACTTAGTCCAAGCCAAGCCCACAGATAACCAAACCAAGGCAGACACAGCTTTAGTTAGACTGGAGAAACTCCCCTGGAATAGTTTTCTAGTAAATGGGTGAGACATGGCCATCAGGAGTCTGACAGCACTGCTCCAACACTACTCAGAAATACTCCAGCACTTGCATGACCCTCCACAACATATCTTACCCCAGCACTGAGGAGCCCTGCACCCAGAGCTTTACAGGGATCTGTGATGAGACACCATAAAAACCAGGACTGGTGCGGATGGAGAGTTTGGAAACATGTCCTTGGTGAGTAAACACTCTTTTCCTTAAAACAAAACCTACAGCAAAACAACAATAAAACAATTTATTCACACTCTTGGGAAAATGCTAATTAAAGTTTACTTTAAAATACTAGCAGACACGAGTGTGGGCTGTAACAGGAACATACTGTGAAGTGACAGGTCTGCAATAATCCCATCCCTCAGCCAAGTCTAATTCATTCCGATCACGCGAAGGTCCGAAATCCAGGGAGGCTCTTGGAGCCCAAGCATGTGCACTTGTGGGAGGTGCAAGAAGTGTCTCTGCAGCGAGAACAGGTGTGAGAGCAGGGGTTAATGGAGGGGGGTGCCAGGAGCCCAGCTCTGCAGCAAGCACAAGGAAAGCTCCCCCTGCTCCGCCACGGCAGCTCCGCAGAGCTCTCCCTCACGTTCCTTCCAAGATTTGCTTTGCTCTGGAGCAGCCTGGCCATGGAGAACTGGGAAGAGCCATGGGAAAGGCTTTTGCAGAACTCTCAATCATGCTCCTTCCAAGCTTTGCTTTGGTCTGGAGCAGCCTGGCCATGGAGAACTGGGAAGAGCCATGGGAAAGGCTTTGCAGAGCCCTCCCTCACGCTCCTTCCAAGCTTTGCTTTGGTCTGGAGCAGCCTGGCCATGGAGAACTGGGAAGAGCCATGGGAAAGGCTAAACATGGCTTGGTGCTAGAAGATGAGGTGCCATGATTGCTTTGCCTCTGAGAAGATGGGCACTGACCTTGGACAGAATGCAACAACTCTTTGCCTCTAAGAGCTGACAAACCCCTTGTTCCTCAGGGAGTCCAACACTGCCTTGAAACTCATGAACCAGGCAGGAAAGGTTACTTTCCATTATCCTGCTTCAGCAAGGTTTACACTCATGCCAAGTGACACTGCAACCACCTGAATGAACCCAAGCTTTCCAAATGGGAGCAGAACTCTTCCATGCCCCATAAATTATCTGGAGCCAGGTCTTGGGTGAAACACCAGGCACTGGCAGAGCAGGAAAAAACCCTGTGAGGGCAATACTGAAATGAAAATTAGTTTGTTCTAGTGATGCCCAGCTCCCCTCTTGTAACACCATGGCATTTGTGCCCAGACAGGCAAAGGCTGTTGAGGAAAAGGCTGAGGGACATAATTTCTATGACTCCACACCATGTGTTTCTCTGTTCCTTTAAACTCCTATAATGTATTCCAGTTTGAGCAAGGGAAGCTGTAGAATGGGATGCATATGATTTTTTTATTTTATGAGGCTATTTCCTAATTTATATAGGTCTACTGCTAAAGGACTCAGCGTTGCCTTCATTTCAAGGTCTTTCAGTAAAATAGGACAGGAATGCTGCAGCACACACAGGTCACTGTTCCTTGAGCAGAATGGTGGCAAAACCACATTTGCCAGCTCCAGGAATGGCTCGAGGATCACATCATGAGTGCCCCAGCACTGCCCTAGCCCTGTCCCCCCTCACTGGGGGTGGCAATGAGGAGAGGCATGCTGGGTGTGACAGGAAATCACTGCACCCCTTTCCTGCAGCCAGAGTTGTTTGTCCCATTTCACTGGGATCCCACCTGCACCCACCACAGCACTTTTCTCCTGGAAATTTTTCTTCCACTTTAATTAGATGGGACCAGTAAACCATAAGTCAAATGGGTGATTCCACTTTTAATTGCATTTTCCAAAAGGTTATAAATAGTTCCATTAAAGCCCACACGAACCCCCAGGCGCTTGCCTGTCAGTCCTGGTGTCACCTCACCTCTTGCAAGTCGTCCTGCTTAGTGCCACAGCAGATTTGGGAGCCCAGATTTCTCCTCCTAAATTTCAGATTTAGCCTTCTGCCCCCCTGATCCTGTCAGATCTGACTCACAGCCCTGTGTGGCTGTGGGCATGGGGCACTCTGCATTTCAGATGTGGTGGGTCCTGCTTTTACTCACTGGCCATTTTACTGGGCACCAAAAGGAAAATGGGAAACATCCCCTTGAGTTATCATAGGATTGAAGTGGAAATGATGAGTCTCTCAAGTGCTTGGGAAAATTGTACCCTCTATCCAGGCTTAGCACTGGTGACACCACCAGAGTGCTGCCTGCCTGTCATCCCCTCCACCACTGCACAGAACCACAACTGCAGATGATGTTTTTGGGAAACTACCACCATAGACACTGAGGGGAGAACTCAGCTCACCCCTCCTTCCTCGTGCAGCACAAAGGCTTTGATTTCCCTGCACATGGAGCTGAGGTCCCACTTCAGCCTCCTGCCCCATCCATCTGAGCTCTGGACACAGCAGGGACAGATCTGTGCTCTGTGGTACAGCACAGAACTGGGGTGAGCTAGCTGGCCCCCCTCACCTGGCACTGAGCTCCTGTCCATGCCACACACACACATGTCAGAAGTGCTCTGAGATACTTCCCTGATGGAGTTTCCTGCCTGTGAAATCCCCAGAGCTCTCTGAGAGATGAATAAATATAAACCCTAAAAACTAACCCAACAGATGGGAAGCAATATAATGAAGGAGGATTATTTCTTACAAAACCTCCAGCTTCCTCCTTGGCCCTCAGAAGAGTTGAGAAACAAGGTCAGTGTAAATACTTCTGCATCCCAAAGCTGTTTAATAAAAACATCCCTAAGTTTACAGACTGATGCTTAGATGTGACATCTTCCTAATTGGAGAGCAGGAACTTCAGGGTAGCTACTTCAGTCTGATCAGAGCTTCTGGCCAGAAATCTGGGCCAGATCCACTGTTGCATTCACTGGAATTTGACTCTTTCCATATTAAGGGTCTCCTCTTAGTGCTGAAGTGTTGCATTTGAAAATAAGCAAACACCAAGTGTGAACTGCAATTCTCCTTACAAGTGTGGTTAGATATCAAAGAAACACTCCAGCACAAACCTTGTGGCCATTGGGTAGCATGGAGTGCCAGCACCAAAAGCCAAAGGAGCCTGATCCACCTCTGCCATGAGACACTCAGGGATGAGCAGGGTGACCACTCAGCCCAGAGCACTGCCAGAGCACATGGCCTGGCTGCCCTGATCCTGCACAAAAGAAGCAGCATTTGCACCACGATCCCTCAGCAATGTGAGCCAGACTGAGAAAGCTTGAGAAAAACCCAGCCTTTAAGTTTAACAAACAGATGTAGTGTCTAGAAGCTGAAGAAGAAAGTCTGCATCCTATAAGCAGATAGTGGAGAGAGATGCCATCAGCATCCATGGATGCTTCCCACTAAAATACCTTTAAATAGCAGCTTCTATTCAGTATCCTGCAGAAGACAACAGAGCTAAAATATCTTAATAGAAGGGGATTTTGTTTTGGTCCAAACATCTTAATTTCAGATTTAGCATGTGGCAAGCTGTGTGTCAGATACCGCCCAGACAAAACCTGTCTTCATTTAGAGTTGACACAACACTTCTAACCTCAGGAAAAACAAAATCTCCTCACTTAGTGCCAGTCTGCATCTTCAGGACCAACGACAAGCACCTGAAAAGGTGTGCAGACCCTCCTGCTGGGGCCTCAGGAGAGGATGTTGTGTTTTTAAGAGTTTTGATGGGTGAAAAGCTGGGCAGCCTGCTTGTCCCTTCCCACAGGAGTTTTACTGACGTGCCATAAAATAATGACTGTGACTACTCCATCTTCCCCAGCTGCTTCTGGGCTGCCAGAGAGCAAGGAGCTGCTCCCAGCCTCGGGAGAGACAGCTTGCAGATACCCAGTGCTTGTGTTTTCAGACCTACTCTGCAGCCCTGTGGCTCTTGCTGTGCACTCAGAACAGCAGTTTTGGGACTCATTTATCAGCTCTCCCCTCTTCCCTGTCAGCCAGCACACTGCAGTGTCCCAGGGACACTTCAGATTTGTCAGGCAGCCCAATCTGACCCACAGGGCCATGAGTTCAGTGTCCTTGTGCCCACCTCAGTGCCACCCCAAGCACCTGAATTGGGATAAATCCACCACAGGAGAGGAGGGGAGGGAAAAAAGAGAGACCAAACCTGAGACCTCTTGGAAAGGTGTGGAGGAAGAAAAAGTAAGGGGCTGCAAAGTGCCAGACCCCACGTGCCTAGTGCAGGGCAGGTGAGTGCAGCACAAGGATTTTTGGAGGGGAAAGGAGCTGGGGACTGATGAATTTTGCTGTGGAGGAGGGAAAAAAATCCCCACCTCCCACCCCTTCACACACTCTACCCGTGCCATAAAGCTACAGAACCTGCTGGCCAAGGCAGGAAAGTCTGGAAAGGGATTCATCCCCAAAGTCACACATCCTGCTCCCCTCCCTCTTTGCCCTGAGACAGAGCTGTCAGCAGCTGTTGGACAAACACACTGCTCTCCTCCTCAGCAACAAAAACCAGCCACCCTCACTCTGCACTGCCTTGAAACATCCCCCCAAAGCTGACACAAAGAGCAGCAATGAGCTGGAGCTGGGCAGCACCCGAGGCCCCAGCCTCCCACGCAGCTGGGGCTTCTCTCCCAGCTCCCTCCTCCCCTCCAGCACATCCCTGGGCACCAGGGCACATGTGGCCCTGAGCATGGCCTCCCCTTTCTGCCCTCCTGCAACTTTTAATCCTTTCCCCCTGTGCAGTTTTAGTGCACCCAAGTTGTTTATGGCCACTCACAGCTACCCAGAGTTTATGATTAAATAGCTTGTGGCTCTAAGGACAGGTAGTGCACACGCCTTCAGGCACTTCTAGCAATGAGGGGACAGGATTTATTTCAAGGCAAGGCAATCTCCAGTTTCCTTAAGCAATGTTATTGCATTCCAGGGTGGAATTTTTGAGTCTTAGTGAAGAAACACGTGGAGAAATGCCTTTGGGTATGAAAGTAATGAGTTACACACCTGCATGGATTTCTGAAAGACAAACATCACCACTCCAGGCTTTTAGAGGCTGTGGTCTTCAGCTCAAGAGCAGATTCCTCAGGTGAGGGAAAAAGCCCTCCTCCTCTCCTTCAAAATCATGGACTGCTTGTTCAGAGTTTCAATATAAGCCTTCAGATAAAGGTGGTGTCCTGGAATTTCAAAGGACAGAGCAAAAGCTGACAAAGTACATGAACTGAACTTATGCAAACTGTGGCATCTTTACCTTCAAAGAATGATCTGTATCCTCCTTCAAATTTCATACCCATTAGTTACATGTATTACTAGCTTGAAACATACAACATTGCTCAAAATCCAATTATTTTACATGTTAGAAGAAAACTTTGCACGCAACCCAAGTTATCCATGAAAACTCATAGCAAAACTAATTTCCTAGCAGGTTTAAACAGCATGAGAGGGAAAAAGAGGCAAAAAAATCGACATTTTGTTTAATCTGTGGGTAAATATTCTTAGCCTGCTTTTAACCATTTGCTTCCAAGTTTTGTAAAAGGACTAGGAAAGTGCCCAAATGCCTGAAGTTTGTATTTTCTCAGTGAGAAGGTCATATTTTTCTATCTTGTTTTATACACCACCTTATCTATTTGGTCACCCAAACAGATGTGTGTTCTTTACCTCTCCCAGAAGAAGAGGACAAGCTCTGAGAAGCTGAAGCTGCAGTGGCACGTGAGCATGTGAAACAAAACTCTACAACTGCCCAGCCCACACATCACCCCCCTCACAAACATTGCAAAAATATTCCTTTCCAGTGTCACAAAACCTCCAAAATTCTGGTTCTGGCTTTATTTCAGACCAGAATCCTAACAGTAGTGTAATATTTCACATTTTCTAGCATGATTTTCCAGCTAATTCCCCCAGCTCAGGTATTTCCTTGCTGAGGTTTGGTGAAGGCTTACCTGGCCTCCCACTGTCCTTTTCAGGGAGAAGGGAAGGAAAGGATTGGTCTGCTAATTCCAGTTGCCATAGCCAGGAGCAGGAGACAATATTTCTTCAGCAACTTCCAATGGCAAACCTTTTCCCTGGATATTGTCTCTGAATATTGCTGCTGTCATTCTGTGAAACTCGGAGGTCCAACCCTCTGGATGTGCTGAGCACCCAGCATTCCCTCTTGGAGGAGCACAGGAAGGCAGAGGAGAGAGTTCTCTTCCCAGGGCTCTGCAGATCATATCCTAGAGAGGAAGCACAGTTAAATGCTGACAGGAACAAAAGCTGCTCTCGGAAGGACGTTCCGTCCTCAATTCCATCAGAAAGGACTGAGCAAGCAGGGTTTGACAGAGCAAGAGGAAAATCAGGATCATCCAAGTCAGACAGAACTGTTGGCAGCTATTTTCTTCCTACTTTTGATGGCTCTCAGCTATTGTCATACCTGGAACCAAGTCAAAAGCATGCTTATCCTGCTGTGCAAAGCTGTTTCTCTCAGCCCCTATAATAAATCAGGGGCATTAGCAAACTTCTTAGGCAGGTTGCAAAAAAGCACCATCCCGTATTTAAAACGCACCAACTTCCAGCTGAGGTCAGTTGTGTTTCCTTTTAATTTTGATTGCTTAATTTTGAGGCAGCTGAGCCCACCCCTCTTCCAAGAATGCTCAGTGAGTTCCCTGCTCACCTGCTGACCCCAGCAGGATGGAGACAGCTCCCTGAGCACAGGCCCTCAGTGGCTCTGGAATGTCACAGCATCTGCTTCACAGGGAACTGGCCTCACCTGGGATTGTCTCTGCACAGCAGAGACTTCACAGCCATGCCACAGTGCTCCTCACCTTAACATCAGAGGGAAATTTAAACAGGAGCAGTGTGCAAAAGAGGCTGCAAATTTTCTTCCCTGCTGACAGTGTCTCCATGAGGTGCTAGGCTTCATTTTTACAGATGTTTGAAACAATATTTCAAATCAATTTTCAGCCAAAACAGCTGTTTACACAGGCCTATACCTCCCTACAAGTCATGCACTCTGGAAGTAAAACGGTTCATCAGATCTTCCAGTCAAGTTTAGAAGGTTTGAGCAAACCCTTTGAGGGAAGTAGGAGAGTTGTGCATAATTTAAAAAAGCCATAGAAACAAACAAAAAAAACCCCTGAATTTGTAAATTCTACAATGGAGGAAAATCTGATGATCTAACGCCAGCTACGAGCAGTCAAGAAAATGTTGAGCAATTCTGAAAAGTGGTGAGGGATAGACCTTGGACTGCTGCTGCAAGAGGGTGGTGAACACTTCCCCTCGGGATGGTGGCAACCATGCTGTGCTGCTGCTCAGACCTGAGTAATTTAAGTGAGTAGAGAAATCTACCGCTCAAAGAAAATTAGACAAAATGGCTGAGGAGAGTCTTGACCTTTTTATGTCCGTTTTTCTGTGAAATTTGCAAATTTTATTGGAGGCCACTTCCTGCCTTCACAGAACGCTACTTTTCTTCATTAATACCCCAATAAGTCTGTGGAACCATGTCAGAGCCAGAGCTGCTAAAGACCTGCTTTTAACCATTTCCTTTCAGATAAATGTCACGACCAGCTCAAACCCAGTTATCGGAAATCAGCTGAAATCTTTTGCCATCTCCTCGAGGGCTTTTTCCCCCCCATGAGGAGCAGCACCATGAACAGTCACGTAACCAAGTGCTGACAGGAGGAGATGAGGTCTTTGAATAGATTGGCTGTGTCATTCCAAGTCCTAGCTCCATAGCACTAACTTTAATTGCCAGATAATTTCCACCTGCTCCTCTAAAATTTTGTATGAATATACAGGAGATTTCCGCCCTGAAGTAGCTTTCAACACCATATGGGAGACTAAGTTATTCCCATTTCAAAGATGGGTTTGTGAGACCAAGAAAAACAGCTTGTTGACACTTGAAAATTGACTAGAGGAACTTTTCTGGATGCTCTTAAGCCAGAATAAGAAAATGTATTAAGTCAAGTTAAAATAAATCAGCTTCCATTCCAGAACGAGTGCTATTATATTTTATTCAGTGCATCAGTTTTTATGGTTCTGTTTTAAACCTGTGAGAGCCCAAAGGCTCTCGCAGGCCATGGCTGCACTTTAAGTGACTTTACTAGGTCAGGCTCTTGAAAAGAGGCTGAAGGGCTGCAGCCTTGAGACTCACTGGAGCTGCCAAAAGGCTGATCCCCACAGCACAAACCTGTGGGGTGGATGGAGTATTCCCTGGGCTGTGGGCAGGGAGGAAGAGCTGCACATCTCAAGACAAGATAATTTTAAGCACCACACTGAGGGGCAGTGGCCCCAGCTCAACAAAAGGACCAGGAAAGCATCACTGAATGAAGAGCATGGAGGTGTCTCATCTTACCTCCCCATAAGTCTGCATTCACTCCTCAGTGCAGCACTTTGGTCTTTCAAATCAAGAACTTGGGAAGAATTTCTGCTTTGAAAAATTAAAAAAAAAAAAGGAGAAGGAGAAAGTAAAACCAAAATATTTCATTCATTATCTCATTGGTTAAGGTATTTTTACCTAACATGGGAACTAATTTCAGCCTCTTTCTAAAGATGAGGTGAACCTTTTCTGCAGAGTGAAATTGTCACTTGAGACTATCTCACCCAGGAGAAAAGGCTGCTTTTCCTGTGGAGCCACCATCCCTTGGTGACACTCGGTTATCTAACATGGAACATGAGCATTCATCATCCAGACCAATGATGGCAACGCTTGCAGAAGGCTGAGAAGCCCAAAGCTGTCAGAAAAAACGAGTGAAACTGTGGTGGCCAAGTCCCTTGGACACTCTTTTCAAAGGAACACCCCATGGATGCCAGAATGGAAACACCCTATGGATGCCACAGGCACGGCCTATGAACATTCTGCATTAACTAAAACCCTTGCTTTTAGACCTAACACCACCTGCTTAACTAAAACCCCTGAGGAGACTCCTCTTCAGACCTCATTTGTGTGTCCATCCAGCAGAGTCTGTGCTGATGGACTCCAGATCTTCCTCTCTCTACAAGGGAAAAGTGTGATGGAATTTATCCCAGAGACTTAAAGCCAGATGCTCCACAAGCAGCAGAATCTGAATCTCGCTAAGCCCAAACAGGAAAATATTAATAAAATGCCAACATTAGAAATGAGTGACTCTGTTTGGAGCCTGGCTCCTTCCTTGACAACCACCCAAAATATCATCTCCTTGCAAGGCCTGTGCTGTGTTTCCCCCACCCAGTGCAGCTGACAAGGTGATTTCAGAGCTGTCAGAGCTGGGATGCAGTGCCTTGGACAAGGCACATCCCCTGGGCATTGTGACTCCCCTCTGACTGCAGCCAATCTCATGCTCACTGACAGACAGGGGCCAGCTCCACAGACACCCCAACCCCACAGGTACCATTTTTGGGAGGGAAACTGATTCTGGGCACCTAAATCTTGTTTATCCCCAAGAATCAAACTGAAGCAGTGCTTCTCATCTTCCTCCCTAACTGAACCTTTTCTCTAAGTTGGGGAAACCCATATTGTCCCTTGGGCTGTGTCAGAATTTTAGCCCTGGCCCATCTCTCCTGCCTGGAGAGAGAGAAGGGCTATCAGCCCCCTGATCTCCCTCTGAGCTGTCAGTCTGGCGGTGTTTTCTCCCCATTCCACCACTGACATATTGCACATGACACACTCAGCAGCCAGATGCCTCAGTTTCCCATTCACTGTCACACATAGATAATCCCCTGAGTGGAAAAAAATAAAATAACAGAGGCTAGGGGAGAAATGAGCCAGCAAACCCTGAAGAAAAAGGAGCAGGGGATGCCTGGGGGGGGTGCAGCTCAGCAGAGGGGATCAGGGCTTGGAGAAACAGAGGAAACGAGGAAACGCGGCTGGATGGGGATTGCTGGGATGGCTCCATCACTGCTCCTTGGACAGCAACACCCCACTGAAGGTCCCAGAGGTTTTCCAGCAGGGAGAAGCCATCCTGCAGCCTGGACCAAAGCCGGGCACGGGCAGAGGAGCAGCAGCGGTGCCGCAGGCTCAGCCCGGCCGGGGAAATGCACGCACTTTGCCTGGCTCCAGGCACTGCTATTAGTGTTCCTGCTAATGAGAATTAACCACCGGCGCTCAAACAAACACGCCAGGCGTTTCCACACAGCCGCCGGTGCGATGGAGCAATAAACGCGAGCTCCTTGCATAAGGATGCGCTCTGGGAGGGGACGCGGTCCTGCTGCCGCAGGAAATTCCGTGAGAAATTACTGGTGTGCTTCTCGTGCTCAGAAAAAAACGAGTAAGAATTTTAGTGCTCCTGGATTAGGCCAATCGTTCATCCTTGGGGGTGGGAAAAAAAAACAACAAAAAACCAAAAACAAAAAAACCCCACCACCACCAAAAAACCAATTTGAAAACCCTGCCCGAGAAGCTTCTGCTTGAAAACTTTCTGCTTGAAAAAAAGCAGCCCTTGTTAGAAAGGAGTCAGAAAGAGGTAAAATGAAGCTCTTTGTTTTTTGAATGATTACTTTTTTTCCTCCAAGACTAAATCCCAGGGATCTTCAAAGCAGCTGCAAGCATCAGCTGAGGAGTTCCCATAGTACAGCCAGGATCATTTCTTTGCTACCTACACACAAAGCAAGGCAGTTGCTGTCCCAACGTGCTTGCAGGAGGGTTGGAACATTATTTTGAGGCCTGAAACTGGAACATCTCAGGGCTGGGTTTATGTTTTACCTTTTCATATCAGCACAGCAAAGCGTAGAGGTGGCTAGAAAATATTGCACTGCCAGTTTCGTTGCCCCTTTTGCTTCACAGGGATCTCAAAAGACAGGGAAAACACCAGGTAGCAAGCAAAAAGGAGAAATAAAGCCATGGAAGGGAGCAAATCAACAGGCACTGATTAGGCTTTTGTTTGTTGTTGTTTGGTTTGGTTTTTTTTTTCCTTTTGGGTTGAATGGGAAAAAAGAAAACTCATAAGTCAACATTTTTTAAAAGTCCAGCCTTTTAAAAACGCTGCACATTTCTGTATCTGCAGAATAAAGCACCAGTTCAAGCCGACCACAAACTAGTCTGATACGATCTGCAAAATTATTTTTCTAGTTATCTTGATGAGTGCTGACTAATTAGCATGACAGCAGCCGAAAGTACCCGTTTGTGCTATCCCAACCCTCTGACACACAGCGCCGGCCAGGAGGGTGAGCCACCCCTGCCCTGCAGCAGTGGCCTTTGCTGGGGAGGGATGGGGAGGCACAAAGAGGGGACCAGGAGCTCCTCAGGGTGCTGGGGAGATGAACCTCACACAGCCAGAATTTACTGTCTCACCTGAGCCAGGACAGGGTGAGATGGGTCTCACCTGCCTTGCACACCGTGTCTCCTCTGAATATGATCTGCATGAAGATTTTCATAAATATTACCCTGATTTAAGCCATTTTTTTCACCATGACATTTAAACTTGCTGTCTCTTTGTGGTGTTCTTAGACTGCTTGGTCTCCCACAGCCCATTTCAGGTCTGTACTTCTGTGCTTCTCACCTATTAGTGGAGCTAGGTAAGACTTGTGTGGGGAGTGAAGGTGGTGGAGTCATTTTTTTCACCTTTTATTTTTTGGT